TGACAGCTCAATGGCATTAGCATTAGACTTGCTATAAACAATGAACTTTAATGATGCTGAACTGATACTTTAGTACCGTTCAGTTTCAAGATCAAGTTTAATGAGTGCTAACTAATTTAAGTGACACGGTTTGGAAAGACATACCTAGGTCGTTCCGCAAATTGTTAGCCGCTGTGCAGGATTTTGAATAAACAACTGATTTCAATGTCAAAAACTTGTTCGAAAGTATTTTTTTATATAATGCTAGATGATTATAATGTCACTCATATTATGTCTATACAATGGACGTCTCACGGAAAGCTCTTCGTGCTATGATTATAAAGAGGTTTAACCTTCACTTCAAGGAACATGATGAGACTTTACAAACCGAGTTTGAGGAATCTCCGTTCTTGTTGATATTGTGAATTGAATCGTGGTTAAAACATGACCGATAACCTTAGAGTTATGGAACATCTCCACATAACACATAACTGAATTGTGGCCCAAATGTCCAATATTTTTGAAAATATTTGTTTCTTAAGTTTTTACGCACACCACTAACTTAACATATTAAATAAAACGTCACAAAATACTGTTAAAAAAGTATTAAAAACGGGTATAAATGCCGTTCAAAACTTATTATATTACAATTTTAAAAGGGTGCGTAATGGGTAAATTGGTCCCGATCCGTTCACGAATGATGATTGACAAGTAGGTTATTTGCAAAAATATAAATGATTTCAATGACACTCACTACACTATTTCTCGTCATTTAATAATATTTGTAAGCTGGTTTACTTATATGCAGTTGAAGGGGAACTAAGTATTTTGGTAACTGTAAATATTCTGTTTTTATATCACTAACTATTTCGGAACATCCAACGTAAATTGACTTGACAGACAACCAATTAATTAACCAGACACAGCAATTAAGTTTAGTAGCTGTAAAATCGTTTATTACTGTAAGCTTCCATGCTCAAAGACGAGAAATCGTGACAAAGTGCTTTCACCTATCACGTACATCACACGACAAATTATACCTATGTCGAACAATATACAGCAATATTGCACAAATGACTTGGAATTCTGGTTGTTGAACAGCTGTTTTTTGATAGATTTTTGTCGACTTCGTTTAGCAGTCAGGTGCGATGTGAGATGTAAAAGCAGGCAGGTGATTATGTATACTCGTTTCGCGTTTTAGCGCAGAAAATGAAGACTCGTAATAATTTTATGGCATTCGCAGATGCGTTTTAGATTCCACCGTATCCAATAAATTCACATCTTGAAAATGCAGTCAAGTCATTAAAATGCGTGGTTTAATGAAGTAGTTTCATTTGAACTTCTTTCTAAATTTATCGTTTAAGTTTTCTATTTTGTATTAGGTATTTAATTTGTCGATTTATCATACACATAGTGTGTTGCAAATTATGTTAGCGATATTTTGATTAAATTTAGGTTAAATATTCATATTAGCTTAATATAGTATAGCAAAATAGAGCAGACGAATTCATATTTTCTTTCAAGTCAATCAAGATTAATGTAAAAAACAACTTTGAGAGCTGAAATATAAATAAATGGTAGACACATGAAACTACGTCATGTGGGACATAATGAGGGAGTTTCATGTTGTATGTTGCTGGGTGTGCAAGGCAAAAGTCGGGCTCATATGGGTAGACGGTAGGACAGACACTACATTAAATTTGTATTGTACCTATTACATTATCACTTCGATATGCCACATGATCTCAATGCTAATATTTGCTATTCTATCTACCTCACGCTATCTTAATATGCTGAAGAATAATAATAACAGGCTGCCAGGCTAGAATAATTTCAGAAAATACCCTGATAAATTCATAGTGAACATTTGTTGAGCGGCGAGTAATGATGCTGGGACAAGGCTCTGGTACAAGGTTTCATGGCTGATAATCACAATTGTTTATTCTACTCATATAATTAATGTGAAAGTATGTATGTTTGGTTTCTCAATCTGTTTGATTTGGATGAAATATGGCACACGTATATCTTATTAGGTACCTGGATTGAGACATAGGATACTTTTGTATCCCGAAAAAATGTTAGGTTCCTGAGAAAATCTCAAAAAACTAAGTTAAAGCGGTTAAAGACGCGGGCGGTCGCTAGTTAATGATAACAAACTAAAAAGTGGCTGACTTGCTGACTAATAATTCGTATTGCAAAGTTAAGCACATGCTGCTCATAGTACCTATTCATCAACAATGTTGAAAAACTTTTGCTCAATATTATTTAAAATGAATACGAGGATTTATAGTATCTTTTTTTTGTGTTTATATTATGAGCACGAGAAACTTAACAACTAGCGCATTCTTATAGCACAGTATATAGGTAGTTTATTTTCACTCACGGAACTAGCGCAGTCAAGTACCGACCCATCTAAACTTATACGCGCGTATCTCTCAAGCCCAGATGGTTTACACGCCAACAGTTAATAAACAACTAATTTAGTTAAGTAAGCACTTGTCAACAATTGAGGTTTACCCTTTGACTTATGTAACTATTTATTGGTGTTCATCAATTGACTTAAACAAAAAGCTGAAAATACTGTAAAGAATATTTTGCTAGAACAAAATTCAACTACATCCAAGCATCAGGCTGGATTTAAATCAGCATCCTATACCAGCATGCTAAGAGGGGGGGGGGGGGGGGGGGGGGCTATTCAAATTTAATTTTAACTTACTTATATTCTTTTGTTACATTGAATTAAAGCAAAAAAGCTTTTTTATAATTTAGGTTAAACATTTCATAATGATAATATAAATAAAATATCAACTTATAAAACTTGCAGTTTGCGTAAATGATGCTTGATTATTCTTTGATATGTATAATTTAAACAAAAGAAAGATAATTTATACATGTGCTATTTTTTTTATAGTGCTCTCTATCTCCTTAAGCTTATCATAAATGGTAATGTTTTGTTATGAAAAAAAATTACAGTGGGGGTCAATGAACAATACAAAAACATCATCATAAAATATTTTTTATATATTGTCCCCAAAATAAAGAACTAACTAAGAGAAAATAACTGATTTATTCATAAACAAAGGTGTACATTTAGTGATATTAGAGTATAATCATTGGATCTGCCTTTCCAATGTGATACTATAAAATCAATTTTCAGAAGCTTTTATTACACTACTATGGTGGTTTTAAATAACATCATAAATTCACTACAGTCCGGCCGCTCAGAGATTGAGTTCCTGACAGGTCATGTCAGTTCCTTATGGTGATAGCATTAGAGTTAATTTCCGAACCTCTTTTTTTATTAGATCTAAAGTGTACTTTATTCTATTGCCATAAGGAACTGACACGACCTGTCAGAAACGCAATCTCTGAGGGGCCGGACTATGAACTATAATGACAGTAGCTCTCAAAATATGCTAGTCTCTGAATGATAGAATAAAAATATGTTTTATTTGAGCATTTAAATCTTAAATTGCACATCGGGATTTTTTACTAAAAAAATTAATCCAATCATTACGTCCAGCCTGGTCCACATAAGACGAGTAGATTTTTCTTGTGAAAATTTTGTTTACATCATTCATTTGTTTAAGGCCAGTAATAATGTATTAAGTATTAGTAATAAATATGTGCTATTAAGTCCTTGTTATAATATAGAAACTGTCTGGTATAACTCAAAATTGAAATGTTTACATGTATCATAATGAGTCTTATCCCAGCATTTCACTTAGCTATTAGATTAGATTTCTTCAGTGATGGCTCTCTCAGGATTTGGCCAATATCTAGTATTTGTGTCCAAAATTTCTTGTCTAGGTTTGTTTGGTTTATGCTGTGTTTGCTTTTTGTCATTTTGAAAGCAGGTTATCGTTATCGCACTATACATAGAATGAAAAGAAGAGACTGTTGATAGCCAAATAGCAAAGTAAAGTGCTGACATTAAACATTACTGTAAATTTTAATTTACTTTTTTTTAATTTACATTTGGCAAAAAACCCTTCAATGGTAACTTATAACAACAACCTATAGTCTGCTGTTCTAAAATGTTTCTTAATTGTAATGAAAATAAGTATAATAGAAATCTATAAAAAAAAGGAAAGTATGACAAAAGACCACCAAATTGAATAATTCTCTTATTAACATGTTTGTTATATTGTTGTCAGAACAAGGTTTGTCTTGAACTTTTGTTTTGATTAATTCACTTGAAGCCAACATAACATTACATGAAATTCACAAATTCCCATTAGTATATTGAACCTATGGTGGTCAGCCTGGTTGCTAGTAATAATAAATTAAATAATCTTAAATTTCGTATTCTATTAATTCTCAAAAATTGAGTTTGTTGTCCTTTTCTTGACTAGGTTTGTGTGGTGAGGGCTTGTTAGGCTTAAGGACTGTATCACTGCTTTTCTATTAGGACAGAGCTGGTGAATGTATGTTTAATTTAGTTAATCTGTATTTATTATATGATTCCATAGAACTTAACATGCAGCAACAATGTCTTGACTTTTGAGTTATTCAGATTAGTTCACTTTTAAATAATTAATAAAAACTACAGTTTAAACTTTTTGTTTATTTTCATCACTGGAAACATGCTGGGCTCTCAAGAGGAACAACAATTTCAAAAGCCGTTTACACCCGTATATTTGCGTGTTTTGGATTGCAGGAGATAAACTTCGACCAAGAACAGCAAAATACGTAACCGAATAATGTCTGTTGAATCTAATAAGATAGGTTTTCTAATCCTATCAAACTTTGGACCATTACTTCAAATGACAGAAGTAAGAATAGATTATTTAAATCGAATTACATCTCCTTGTTTTCTAAGAACGAATACAATAATTTATCGATTCGGTTAACATGCGGGACGCTAACTTTTACTCATGCATGCCGGCTTAATGACATTATAATGCGGTTTACGAAATGAATTTAGCTTGCGAGGTAAGTAGCCAGGTTGCATTATAAAAAAGGAAAATAAAATAAAAATAACAACAACACACAACAGATATTTTTAAATGCCGACTTACCAGCAACGACTGTATCGCTCAAGTCATATTTCACGGGTTTGGGAAAATCGCGCAATTTACGTCCACTTAATTTTAATTCACCACTTAAATAAGCATCTTCAAGGATTCTTTCCAGTGATTTTGTTAGTTGACTGTGAATATTATTATGACCATTCATATTTACACTCACACACGGCCCTAACACGGCCATATTCCATCTGCCGCACTAAAAGACTGATGTTTTTTTTTAAATCAGATCAGTTGTCTACAGGGTTGTCACGTCTAAAATTGGTATTACGCCGATTTTAATAAGCGTTCTTTCCCAATCCAACCATGATCCGCGCTATTGCGGACGTCGCCGATCATCAAACATTGCCGAAATAAAAAATATTACAATGAACCATAAACATGGTAAAATATTCTTTGAGAGCACAACAAATTACTCACGTTTTTTACTACTGTAAAATACGTAAGGTAACTGCCACGTAAAGTATGAAATGGCATGGAAGTAGAGCAGAGCAGGCGGGGCTGCTGTGGCACAGGCTTCATAAAAGAGGGTCTTTCCTCTTTTATGGGGCAACACCTTTGAGTGTTTATCTCAAAGGGAATAGTTTGCGAGTGCGAAATTTCATTGTCAAATGTGAACTGATTGTTAGTTCTCGTTACGTCCGTTGTGGCGCTACTGCTCAAGTTTTCATACGAAATTTGACAATGATAATTCTCACTCGCTTACTTTATGAGGTCGATATTGGTTCGTGCTAAGGGTACAGGCCGGTTCAGTATGATAAATTCCTCGTAATTAAGGTGTATAGCAACACTCATTGTCGTCACTTTGTACAAACCATAGACTATTATCACATCCTATGTCTATGGTTCTTACTTATATGTCATTCGATTAGTGGTGTTCGTGTTATATAGTATCGATATTTTTCTTATTTTTTTACAAATAATATTTTTACCTGTTATTCCTTAGAGAATAGAGAGATGATGAGATGTAATTGTTGTATTGAAACTAATAGTTATTTATCCAATTATAGTTTATTGCACATTTCTGCGATTTCTGCGATTTCGCTTCTTAACCTTGCGATATTAGCGAATAAAAAATTTAGTTCGATTTTGTGTATTACTTAACATAGATTTATAATGACATTATAGCCTTGTACAGTTATACTTAATTTCCCCCAAAAACCAAATAAAGAATATTAATTAAGCATTTAATTACTAGATTTATATAAAAATATATATTTAAAAGTCATAACAGTATATTCTTGTCACTTTCTAAACAGAATGAAAAGAAGAATTTGAGGTTAAAGGAGACGTGTCAAAAGTTTTAGTCGGTTTCCGGCAGTAATGAAACATAACATGAACAGGTATTTCCATTATTTTATTGAACGCTGTTCTTTCCTTCTACATTTTCTACAAATTCGTCAAGACTTTGATTTTTTCTAGTAATATTTTCTTTAGATTTAAATACTTTTAATAATAATATAATGCAAATACAACCGAAAAGAAAATCTGTCTAAACAAAACCATAATAACCAAGTATTCTTAAAAAAACTATTAACAATGACACCACATCTGCATTCTTTATAAACCAAAGAGTACCAAACAGTTTTGCTCTAATAAAATCGGTTAAATTAAATCAATGACCTTGACCGGGGCATTTTTATTATAACTATTATCGATATCCATATTATTTGTAATATGGATATCGATAATAGTTAATAAGACTTGTATAGAACTCCCCTAAATGGATCTAATGTCATAGACTGGGCCGCGTTCAAAACCTACGCTCATAGTACAACTTTTTACCTTGACATTTCAATTTAGACATACATTCTATGAAGCTTATGTCAAAATTGACATAAATTGCACTTAGAGCGAGCGTACTAGCGTAGTATTGAACGCAGCGTACATTATATACTAGGTTAGGAATAGGAATTCTCATCTCAATTGGATTTGGTTTTCTGTCTTTTAGCCTCTTTTACAAGACAGAAAAATTTAATTAAATTTAATCAAATTATTGGATAAGTGTTTCAATACGTTCTGTGATATTCATTTTGATAATTAATTCTTAAATTATGTCTATATTTAATATTCTTCGTGCTGCAAAGGTATTTAAAACTAGCGGTAAAATATTCACACAAATTGAGGTAAGTTAAATTAATTTTATTTAATATTGTAGATTTCTGAGGTTAATTTGATAAAAAAAATAAGTTGAGGTTCCCTTTTGTCTATATTTTCGCCATAGGTATGTCACTTTAAAACTAAATTATTTTAGGTTATAAAAATACTGCTTTTCTAATACTCACAAAAGCCCTTAATCTAATCTAATTAATATTTATGAGATTTGAGAAATTCTCCATATCTATATATATTTTACTATTACAATCTGTCTCTAGGGTTATTCATCTTATGTCAAATATGCTGAACACAAGTCATTGGAAAAGATCAGAAATATTGGTATCTCTGCTCATATTGACTCAGGTAAAACAACATTGACAGAACGAATACTCTATTATACTGGAAGAATTGATGCTATGCATGAGGTGGGTATAATTTTAATATATTTATTTAATATTTTAAGCCCAGAGGAGTTCAAGATGAATAATAAATAAATCAGTCATGAGATGAATAACCATCTTCATGACTGATTTATTTATTATTACACCCCCCAAGCTCTTCCTGATTATTTGGTTTAAAGTACAATGTGTGTTACTACAGGTTAAAGGAAAAGACAATGTCGGTGCAGTTATGGACTCAATGGAGCTTGAACGTCAAAGAGGCATTACAATACAGTCAGCTGCAACATACACAATATGGAAGGAACACAACATCAACATTATTGACACACCAGGCCATGTGGATTTCACAGTAGAAGTTGAAAGGGCATTGAGAGTTTTAGATGGAGCTATTTTGGTTTTGTGCGCAGTGGGGGGTGTCCAGAGTCAGACCCTGACTGTCAATAGACAAATGAAACGATATAATGTGCCATGCTTAGCATTTATCAATAAACTCGACAGACTTGCAGCAAACCCTGAGAGGTAGGTATATAAATAAAGATATATAGTAAACATTGCCAATAATAATTTGTTTGGTATCTCAATTCTCTTTTTAATGTTATTATTTTTAATACTACTTGTTCTGTTAAAAAGAAATGCAAATTAATTGAAGAGTTTTTGCGATTCAAGCTAATTAATTAATTACCAAGTATTTTAATTACAGAGTTCTTAAACAAATGCGCTCAAAATTGAATCACAATGCAGCATTCATCCATTTACCTATTGGTTTGGAGAAGGATTGTGAAGGCATATTAGATCTCATTGAAGAGAGAGCCATATATTTTGATGGTGAATATGGCCAGACTATGCGTTATGATGAGATTCCACAAGATCGGAGAACGGAAGTTAAGGAAAGAAAACATGAGCTTATTGAACACCTGTCTAATGTGGATGAAAAATTAGGTAATGAATTGCATTAATCCTAATTTATTTAATTGGTGAATAGAGAATATTTTGTAATTATAATCTGTGATTATAATTACTTATAATGCATGTCAGAGTAAATATTATTTCTGTTTAGGAAGTCTTAGGATCACATTGAAATGGCAGCAGCTGGCACTGACGTGGCGAACATTTTCTCACTGAAAATGGTGTGAAATAGTTTTAAACTTTATGTAAATAAAAACTAAAATTATTTTACACTGCTTTCAGTGACAAAGTTATCGCTATGTTGTTGCCGGCTGTTGCTATTCATTGTGAACTGTCTTAGGTTCCGTTCCTATTTAAGAGGATCACTCAGTTGTTTGTGTCTGTGTGTCAGTCTGATTGTCTGTCACAGGTTGTTTGCTCGGAATCTATTGGATCAAACAATTTAAAATTTTATATTACATGTATGTCTGTGACCCAAACATGGACAAAGAAAATAAATAAATTCAGAATATTTACTTTTCTTACTTTTGGAAGGTGAATTAATAAATTCAAAATTAAAATGAAACTAACGGTACCCTATTATATATCAATTGAATGATCTCAATGTAAAGGTTTTGAACATTTTTTTTAAAGTAAATTGATTAGTTTAAAAATTATTTAAGAAATTAAATGAAAATTGAACTGTTCCCCCTAATACCCGAAATTACTGCATCTAGAAATTTTAAAAGTAACATAATGAATGTAGCTCCTATTCTGTAGATTACAGGGAAACCTATAAGAAGTTTATAGTATGCCTGGTTTTATAATGCCTGTATAGATAATGGTAACTATTGTGTTAGTCTGACTCCCACTTGTCCGGTTTTTAAATACAGGTTTAGAAAACCTATCATTGTAACCTATCCTAAAATAATCTGGATAACAGTTTATTATGAAAAATCGAAATTAGCACTAGCAATTTATTTATGTGTAAGATGTGCTTTGAAGAGTGCAAATACTTTTCTACATAATTATTTCTGAATACTCTTATACAATGAATCTAGTATCCCATAACACAAGCCTTACAGGCTTACTTTGGGGCTAGGCTAATTGGTGTCAGTGTTAGAAATATAGATTTTATTTAATTTACTGTGATTAACCAATAATTTCTTTTCTAGGAGAATTGTTTCTCGAAGAGAAAACTCCTACAGTTAGTGACATAAAACAGGCAGTACGGCGCACTGTAATAAAGCGGTCCTTCACTCCTGTACTCTTGGGTACTGCTTTAAAAAACAAAGGCGTGCAGCCCCTATTGGACGCCGTTTTAGACTACCTACCGAACCCTGGCGAGGTGGAAAATATCGCCATTTTGAATGAAAAGAAAGATGGTGGTGGGGAGACCATAGTTTTAGATCCGGCGAGAGATGGCACGAAACCATTTGTTGGTTTGGCATTCAAGTTAGAAGTTAGCAAGTTTGGACAGCTCACTTATTTGCGGTGCTATCAGGGGATTCTGAGGAGGGGTGAATTAATTTACAATGCCAGAACAGGCAGAAAGGTATGTAAATTGTTTTATTTTTCATCATTTTGGTTATTTTTATTAGGATACTTTAAAACTAATTTAATTAAAAATGTGCCTTTTTTAATACCATTAATGTTTAATGAGCAAAGAGTGTAAGCAAACAAAAACTTGGTCACAATTAGCTGCTTTCGTTTTAATCTGATTAGATTGAAATTTCAGATTTGAAGTACCTGATCAACATTCAATTTATTTTGACATAAGGTCATCCGGGGCTATTGTAGCTAGGGGAAAAATGTAGCTGTTACAAATACCTTGATTCTTTTTCGTTTTTATATAAGCTATTATATGTGATTAGCATTTGACCTACCTACACATTAGATTTCGCCAATAACACGACACCGTTATTTGATACAAAAGCGATTCATTTGATACAGCTACATTTGCCCCCTGGCTACAATAGCCCCGGACGATCTCACCGAATGTACATTTTATTAATTAACGAAATCGTTATCGCCAGGTGAAAATCTCTCGTTTGGTCAGAATGCACTCCAACAACATGGAAGAAGTGAGTGAGGTGTACGCCGGCGACATATTCGCCTTGTTCGGCGTAGACTGCGCCTCCGGCGACACGTTTGTAAACGATAACAAGCTGCAGTTGTCATTGGAATCTATACACGTCCCCGATCCTGTGGTTTCTATGTCTATAAAGCCGAAGAACAATAAGGACAGGGATAATTTCTCAAAAGCTGTTGCTAGGTGAGTATTTTAATTATTTATTTGTATGGTAGCAAGATGCTATCATTTAATCCAGTTCTTTGTCTTTGGAGTCTATACACATGCCTTATGGTTTCTATGACCATAAAATCGAAGAACAATAAGGACAGGGATAATTTCTCTAAAGCTTTTGCCAGGTGAGTGTTTTAATTAAGTATTTATTTATATGGCAGCAAAATGCTATCATTAAAGCCAGTTCTTTGTCGTTGGAGTCTATATACATGCCCGATCCGGTGGTTTCTATGTCTATAAAGCGGAAGAACAATAGGGACAGGGATAATTTTTCTTAAACTGTTGCTAGGTAAGTTATTTAATTATTTATTATTTGTATTTTCTGATTTCTGTCGATTCGATTAGTGGCCGTGATTAGTGGCTCCAAGTGCGCTTGCGCTTTTATTTGTATGGCAATACAAATAAAAAAAAACCCGAACTGTGCGCTTCCTCTTACTCTACGTAGTTGTCTCCATGACAAGCCAAAGAAGATTAAAACAAACTCACAAAAAGTTTCGGTGTTGTGGTAGTGATGAACGCGTGAATGACAATGTTCTTTTTTTTGAAATTTATGCTGCTGCCTAATGAGTTATGGCTCAATTACACTTGGTCGTTAGCCCGTATTAGGGCACCCGAAGAAATATTTACACTGGGATAAGGACTGGAAGACGGTGACAGGTAACTAAAACAAAAACTATCTGAATATGGGCATACTTGACTCCATTCATTTACACTTTATCGTATGCCCGAATTCTATTGGCATTCGTATTCGGACTAGTGACCAAATATAATCGCGCCTGATAAGCTAAAATAGTAAGTTATTTAGTTTTTTATTTATTATTACTTAAGCTCTTTAATAATTCTTACAGGTTTACCAAAGAAGATCCAACATTCCAATTCCGTTACGATCCAGATAACAAGGAGACCCTTGTGTCTGGTATGGGAGAATTGCATTTAGAGATATATGCGCAGAGGATGGAAAGAGAATACAATTGCCCCGTCGAACTGGGCAAGCCAAAAGTTGCTTTTAGGTGAGTTGTTGACAATTAGCCAGCTTTACAATAAATAATTCCTTAGTCCACTCACTTGACTTGCTTACCTGAACAAACATTTCTGCTTCCTGTATGTAATATAATAGGTAATTCCAATGCCAACTGAGAACCCATCATGATGCTCAGTTGGGATGGGAATCCATACATTTAAACTCTCCCTTTATGTATATGAACTTGCCAAGAGCGAATCCGGATTTGGCGCCAGGGGGGTCATATAGTCGTGGTCACAGTGGGTACAGATTGTGAAGTGGGTACAGATGGACCCAGCCCAGGGAGAGGTCATGACCCCCACGACCCCGCCCCCCCCCCCTGGATCCGCCCTTGGAACTTGCCACCCCCTCCCCAGACCATCGGCTGCGACGCCCTTGCTTTTTCTCTTTCCTTGAGAGTTCATAAATGAATATTTCCAACACTCACACCAATTAGCCTAGCCTCAAAGTTAGCACTGCAGGCTTGTGTTATGGGATACTAGGGTAACGGATAGAATACATAATATACTGATACATATGTATGTATATTTGTATAGAAATACTAAACATCCATGACTGGAGTCCAAATGCTTGTATTCATCACAAACACATCTGCTCACACCGGGATTCGAACCTTTCGAGTAGGCGAAACCTTGAAACCAGGTACATACCACTCGGCCACAGAGGTCACCAATATCAATTTCATGCAAGTGTCTCAGTCTATTATCTCTCTCTCAATCTATGGCTGTTGAACAACTCCTTCTGCCATCTTTATTTCATTAATAGGCTGATGAGCCTATTAATGTCACTGGCTGGGGCACAGGCCTTCCCTATGGATGGAATAGGCAGATTGGGCCATAACCCACCACGCGGGCCCAGTGCAGATTGGCGGGTGCTAACAACTGCAGATGCAGCCGGGACCAACGGCTTAACGTGCCTTCCGAAGCACGGAGGAACTCGAGATAGTAAATTTTTGGTTACCCATCCAATGACTGACCACTGCAAAAATTGCTTAACTTCAACGATCGCAGCCGAATGCGCTAACCACTTGCGCCATCGAGCTCCTCATCTTAATTTAATAAATAATCATTGATTATTTTGCCAGGGAAACCCTTATGTCGGCGTGTGATTTCGATTATCTTCATAAGAAACAGTCTGGCGGCGCCGGTCAATACGCTCGAGTGTCTGGAATAATAGAGCCTCTGCCACCACAACAAAACACAGGTAGTTACACGATTTTGATCTTTAATTATTGTTATAAAGTCTATATTTATATTATTCGAACCCACCGATCCCATGGGTCATGGCCCAATATTCTATGGTGGATACATAAATTTCAACTAGCATACAAATAAAAACATTATTTGTTTGACATTGTGGGTTAATTACAATGTGAAGAGATGGCGCTGCCTTGCAGCCCAAGAAATACTGGAAAGAATTTGACACGGCCATTAGGGCCGCGGTAGCATCGGGATCTCTTGCTGCCCAGCGTCGTTAAAGCGATGCTGGACGCTCAGGCTGACCCTATCCGCCGCCGACGGCGAGGTCACGGTAATATTATCTATACAGTATTCTATCAAGGGATGGCGCTACCTGCGCTGCGATCACAATAACATGGAAGCCTACATCGCACATATGAAATTCGGAAGCTAACTCTCGATTTATACGATGCCTGACCAACATCAGGCGAGTCGCGGCCCCCGAGCTACCATCAGCCAGCTCGGAGGAAGATCTTCCCCTTTGGCCTTCCCACACCTGGGTACCCCGGGCATCCTCCTGACCGCCAGGAGGAGGAGGAACCCCTGACGGAGGCAACGTGGAGAGTCACCTGGATCCCACGAAACCCGTTCCGGCAGGCTAGGGAGCACTGTTGGGTTTTTAGTGGGTAGCTCCCCCCCATCCCCTCATCATTACCCCCTCATCCCGAGCAGCCGCTGAGTCAATTTGGCTGAGCGGGTGGGCGGGATTTGGGGGAGGAAGAATCCCACATAACCTCGTCTCTCACCCAGGGGCGGGGTAGGTATGCGACGTGCATTTTCCCAAAAAAATAGTCCGTGGGAGCATAATGGTTAGTGCATCCGTTTGGATAGCGGAGGGTGCGGGTTCGGGTCTCGTCTGCTGCTTGGTGTGTGTGGATTTTTTTCTAGTAAAATTTTCTCTATTATAGCTATTAACGGGATTGTTACCTTGTTTTTTGTGAGTCTCCGATATTTCAGCACTGTTGCAAGCGCCATGATCACGGAGTAACTGAAGTAATTGCGGGTAGATGTTATTGGCAGGCATATCGGTCTACCCTCTGACGTCGTCTTTTACTGCGATACTCATAAAAAACAAGATACATGGTAACAATTCCGTTAATAGCTATAATGTTAGGGACCATGAAAGTTTAAAACAATAAATTATCTCTATGTTATTTGGTAATTTAGGATTTTAATTTTCAATGCAGTTGGTAATAAGGTCTACAATTTAATATCACTTGTAACTTACATACTTTGTAGAGTGCGAATATCGTGGTTATATTATAGCAGTGGTTAAGCAACTTTGCGAAACCCTGTAATAAACCCGGCTTCCTGCGTTATGAAATGAAATGGATTTTTTTTATTTCAATAATAATATGATATAAAATGAAAAAATCGTTAAACGGAAGTTAACTCCTTCATTTTGAGTTCTCGACATAAATTTCATTTTAGCAAGTTTTTACTTTAAGTTTCTCGACCATTCATAATTTTCTTTAACCATTTCAATATCATGATATCCTTTCTGCTTCCTTTCCATAATGAGGTCCTTTCTGCTTTAATTTTTACAACAAAATAAAGCACTTTCCGAGCAGGTGCAGTATAAAGTAACTTTTCTGGGCGTTAAATATACATTCTGTTGTTATTCCGATTTCACTGTGTGACACAATTTTGATTTAATTAAACTTGTAAGCCTTTTGATGTTTTTCTAGTAAAATTTTCTACACATGATTATATACTATAGAATTTGAAAGTGTTAAATAGGATATTGATAATAATATTGTAATTCTCTCTTTCCCTTTTTGCAGTGTTAGAATTCTCCGACGAAACGATTGGAACAAATGTGCCCAAACAATTTATTCCGGGCGTAGAACGAGGCTTCCTAGATTCCTGTCAGAAAGGATTTCTATCCGGTCACAAAGTATCCGGCATTAAATTCCGTTTACATGATGGCGCTCACCATATTGTGGACTCTAGTGAACTGGCATTCTTCCTGGCTGCGAAAGGAGCTGTTAAAGACGGTAATATGGTATTAATTTTATTTGTAAAACGCATGGTTTCCTCATAGAAAAGATATTCATCCGGTCTAAAGGTATCCGTTATTAAATTTCGCCTGCAAAGGGCGCTCACCATATTGTGGAATTCAGCAAACTGGCATTCTTCCTGGCTGCGAAAGGAGCTGATAAAGACGGTGATTCTACATTAATTTATCTAACAGATATATTTATCCGGTCACAAAGTATCCGGTATCGAATTCCGGCACTCATCACATCGTCGATTCTAGCAAACAACCATTATTTTTAGCTGTCATAGAAACTGTTAAGTTTGTTACATAATATGATAAGCTAAAACCATAATCTATAGAAGGTAACGATACCCTACACGTCATTGTTACTCGCGTGTGGCCTATCCTAATCCCATTTCTTAACCCGTGGAGCCATACTCACTGACAGAAACACAACATCATTTAAAGCTAATTATTTCATTATTGTGGTCTTTTGTAAGGTAAAGATTACTTCATCAGGCAAAATTAAAGTTAGGGGAACTGAAGGCACCAACGGTTTTATCTGTCTCTCTCTCTCGAAATTTAAGAGCAAAACACTTGTCTTATTCATCTTTGTTGTCTCTTGATCTATGACGCCAGATTTCTGCTGAATTTGATAAGTGTGGGCCCTCCAATAGAGACCGCATACAAGGCAACGAATTAGAAATTATATGGAATCATTACTCTCTAACAAAGGCCTCTAAAACATGATTCGAAACTCATACCTTACCTAGGTATGGTACACTGAAAATGTTTAGAAAATTAAAAACGGCTTAGTGTAGGAAGTTGCCAATACTTTTATTGTTTTTCGAAGTAATCCCCGTTCCTCTCTACACATCGTCGCATTCGATGGAACCACTGAGAAAAGCAGTGGGCCCATTCTTCCTTAGGGGTCTCTTCTATGGCATTTTCGTACGCTTTCACCACATTTTCAGGGCTCGTAAAGAGAATACCTCGAATTTTATCTTTAGTTCTTGGGAATAAATGAAAGTCGCAGGGCGCCAGGTCAGGACTGTATGGCGGATGACACATTATCTCGACACCCGCCATAGTCAGAATCAAAAATCAGATTTTTTCCCAAGACAACAGGCAAACAGCGATTGACATACCAATCTGTAGTAACTGTCCTTCCATCTTCTAGCACAACTGTCACGAAATGACCTTTCCGACCAAAGAATGAGGCAATCATCTTTTTTCCTTGACTTCTTCCTTTCTTTACCTTAGTTGGCCGATCCTCGAAAGGAAACACCCACTGAGATGATTGTCTTTTGGTTTCGGGTTCGTAGCAATATATCCAGCTTTCATCACCTGTGACGATGTCAAATACAGCATTTGATTCACCGCCGTTGAACTTATCTAACATTTGTCGACACCAGTCCATGTGAAGGTGTTTCAGGTCGTCGATTAAAGTTTGGGGTATCCATTTGGTACAAATCTTCCTGACGCCTAAATGTTCGTGTAATATTTTTTGAACTTGACTCATACCAATGCCTGGGTTTGCCCGTATCTGCTGGTAGGACACTCTTATCTTCCTCTATCATGCGTCGCACAGCTCTGATGTTATCTTCAGTAGTCGCTGTTAAAGGACGTCCCTCACGCGGATCATCATTGAGATTGCTACGTCCACGCTTAAACTCGTTAGCAATGTTTCTAACTGGCCAGTTCTAAACATTTTCAGTGTTACCCACGTACAACTGCACTTCAATACTTACTTGACACGCACGTAATTTGGCAAATCAAATATCTGCAAATGCAAATGAATTCGGCTGTCCATTCATTGGGCAAGAAATGTTAAACGGAAATCACAACCAATCCTAAGATCGGCTTATTTATCGCAGTTTTTTCGCCCCGCCCACTTGATCGCAGTTTGCGTGGAACCACTTTTTAGCGCAGTTAGTATTCCATATTGTTTCTAATTCGTTGATATAAGGACACCCGCGTGTGGCAAGCCTAGATAGCTTTCTCTCTATACATATATATGTACTTCTCTTTTTCTCTGAATTTTCGGTGCAGTCCATAGACCTTTCACCATTTCCCTCTCTCCTCCCCAGATCTTCGATGACTCAACACCAGCTTTCTCCTTAATGTTGTATAGGCTATCCCTGGTCTTCTCTACTTTGCCTTCTACTTTTTCCTCAATGAAGGAATTTGTCATTTAGAAATATTTTATATTTATCTGATACTGTGCTAAAAATATTTTTTTAGCCGTGTCAGCGTCAGCATAAGCTGAGGCAACTTAGTTCCAAAATTTTCAATCTAGTTCCAGCCGAGTGTTGCATGACACTCATGTTAGTATTATGATTTTAGTATTCGAAGAGGGGGCCTGGCAGATCCTCGAGCCTATAATGTACGTGGAAGTGGTTCTGCCGGACGAGTTTCACGGTGCGATAATTGGTCAACTGAACAAACGCGGTGGAATCGTCACGGGAACTGAGGGAGCGGAAGGTTGGACCACTATATACGCTGAAGTGCCGCTGAATAACATGTTCGGATATGCCGGGGAACTCAGGTGAGTTGGAAGCTGAGCTTTCAATCTTCTATAACTAATAATATTCTGTGAATTCGTTACTGATTTTGGAATCGGGTCTTACTACTACTGTGCTACAATGTTCCTTATTGACACAGCGAGTTGAATGCGTTAAATTTACACTTTCGAAAGCGGGAAAGGTCGCTAGTTATATGTGTATATTTTGTGACGTCAGTGAAACATAATTTGTTAGTTGTAAAGAGGGTTTTTTGGTATGTCTGGCGCCAGGTGGCAGCACTGAGCCGTAAGGTCTACTCATGAGTTGAAATGCTCGTTCGATTAATTCGTGCCAAAAACTTCATACAAAAGACCTCCGCATGCCGCAGTGACGTCAACTGGTGTATTGAATTTTCTTAAACACCCTAAAGTTGTTAGTCCCATCCAAGAAATGATAGCAGCGCTACTTATAGGGCGCTCTCGAGTTTTTTTTTATAAAAATAGGTTGGCAAAGGACAATGTTGCCACGTTTGCGATACTGATAAAAAATAAAATAAATAAAGCTTGTCCTGCTTTAGTTCGGGCCTGACAAATACGAATAACTATGGGAAGTGCTGGCCTTACTTTGCATGTATTTTAACAAATATTTAAGCGACTTTCTTTTCACAGATCGATGACACAAGGCAAAGGCGAATTCAGCATGGAATATAGCAGATACTCACCGTGCCTTCCAGACGTTCAAGAACAGCTAATTCGGAAGTACCAAGAGGAAATGGGCTTATTACCCGACCAAAAGAAAAAGAAGAACTAACGTTAGCAAACATTTAGATCTATTGTTGTTATTATAATTATTATTTATATTTATTTTAAGAGTACCAAATATAAAAATGTGAAATTTTACAGGCGTAACAAGATGTTTTTTTAATTATTAAACCCTATAATGGATTAGGCATCAACATTATCAGCCTATTAATGTCCCCACTGCTGGGGCACAGGCCTTCTCTATTGATGGAATAGCGTGAATGGGGCATTTTCTACTACGCGGACTCAGTGCAGTTTGGTGGGTGCTATCGGCTGCAGATGCAGTCGGGATTAACGTTTTAACGTGCCTTCCAAAAACCTTAATAGGTTTTTGGTCACCCATCCAACGACCGACCGTTGCGAAAGTTGCTTAACTTCTACAATAGCAGACCAAACGCAGAGCTCCTATAGAGGACCAAGGACTATATTAATTAGCCTTCAATTCACTTGCTTACCTTTTTGTGGAGGTTACCACAAGGGCCCCAATTCGTCCAAATGATTTTGAATCTAAACTACAAAAAAAAAGGTATAGCCATATGACCTGTTGTTGACTACACAATAGTGTAGTCAAAATCACGCTTACTTAAATAAGAGACGTAGATGGGAAAATGTTTAAAATTAAACAGCTCATTACAATGCACATTTATAAAAAAATGATTTATTCTCTCAACACTCCACAAATATATCCAAAAACAATACAAATCCGTAACAAATATCCTCGCAGGTACAATCATATTAATTGTTTTCCTTAACATTATACATTATAACTATACGCTTATTCTATAATTTATCTATGCTCCTACTAAAACTACTATTATTGTTAGGCTGAATGTCCACAATCAACGTATTACAATAAAAAAAAACAAAGTGCGAAATATTGGCTAGGGACTATAGAATAGCCTCAAGTTATTTCCATTAAAGTATGAAAAATACTGCAAACGTTATGCTCTGTTATATTAAGTTAAGCTTATATTGTATTACTGATTGGTTAAACTTGACATACGTTGAAGAAATGCTACATTTACTTAAATGCACAGATAGCCACAGTCACGTCAAGTTACCCAATTTGCAACTGATTTTGAGCGTTGTCATCCTTGATATACCACTGGTAACTGTGGTAACTTGATCTCTGGCTGACTGTACATAAATAATATAAGTACATATAATGTATAAACTCAATTTAAGACGCCTAAATATTTAAACATTAGTCTATAGATAATAGATAGCAATTTACTTTTCATACTACCTACATTGCGCTTTCCAAAATACTCAACTGATTTTATCATAATCTTTTGTCACTCCAGTACCTCTAGCACGAACCAATATCGAATTCGAATTATTTGCAAGTGCGAAATGTCAATGTCAAATTTTATATTGAAACTGAACAACGGACGTAATGAGAACTAAAAATCAATGCACATTCGACAATGACATTTCGCACTCGCAAACTATTTGAATTCGATATTGGTTCATGCTAGAGGTACTACAGTTCTTAACATTATTTTGATCATCTTACCACAAACTGATAATATTTTTACAAGAAAAATGACGGATTATGTTATTGACATACTAAAAAATTATAGTAATTTTGCATATTTAACAAACAAATTTCATTCTTACGTTAAAAAACTTAAGTAGGTAGCTGATATCAATTAATCAGAGGTCAAATTAAAAATTCTAGTAGTTTCTATTATGCTAATGTCGTAATCGAATTGTATAATCTAATCGCTAATGGTGTTTTATTTTGGCACTTCGTTTTACTTCATATAGGAGTTGAGACTAGGTCCAGTCCATATTGATAAGTAACACCGATAAAATAATACACTCGTAGAAAGCCTCTAATCTATAAAAATCTGTCAAAATTCGATTTCATGGATTTTAACCATTAAAAACTTTTCAAAAGTTGAAATTTTATGGTAAATTGACATGGCAGTACAATAAGTACATTCTTCCCAATCACTTAGCGGTATGTACTTATGCATTTTTAACACACACATACGTAACCAATTGGCTCCACCCCACCTAATGTTGAGCGGAAGTAGTGTTGCCAGGTCTCCCAATTTTACAGGAGATCTCCTGGTTTTCTGAAATTACTCCTGTTCTTCTATTTTTCTACATGAATCTTCTGTTTTTATTAGAATACGAATTTCTTTTTTCAATTGCATGTTGAGTTCCGTTTTCCGCAATTAAGAATGTAGGTATTATATATATTTATTTTTATTTACTTAAATGGTAAAAAAAACGAGCTTTGAGGGGCGGCAGAAGCCACAGAATACATACAAATTTTAAGTACGCCTCTGCATCTACTGTTTTTTCTTGTAGCTCTTTCCATACATTTACTCCTTTTTTCTATAACGTCTCCCGATTTTAATAATCGAACCTGGCAACACTAAGCGGTAGTGTTGTCCATACATATGTTATGTACTATTTTGTCGGCGTTACTTATTTCGATGGTCACCAATTAGTGAAAAAATAATTGTTCCGAATTCTGTCGTCCCTATTATTCTTAATAGTCAAAAAGATTTAGAGGAGTTTTAAATACATCTAAAAGCCTGCTATTTTAATTGATAAAGTTTGTTTATGGTCTGAGGTCTCTAATATACCAACAGCTGGAGAAATTTTGCCACATTTGCAAGGCGATAATTGCTTGAACTATATCTCTGTAACAGGAGGTAACTAAGTATATACTTATATCAAGTTACAGGGCAAGGGATTATCGCCTTAAAGTGATAGTGCATAAATTCATTCCTACTATGACCACTATGAGGAAAATAATTGACCAATTTTGTGTTGAGAATAAAATTCACATGGTAACAAGTGGGTAAGAATACATAAAGCGTGAATATATTGTAGACTACAATAGCTGATTATAATCCAGTAGTCAGATTTTTGTAATGTTATATAATGATTGCTGCGTAGACGCCCCAATTCAAAAATGTGTATGTACTGGGCACATTAATCTATGGTGATTATGAAACCTATTTATCTACTTATTTACAGTAACCACTACATTTATATACAAGCAGCTTATTAAACACATTTATAAATTTTGTGCGACATTATTAATTCATGAGTTTTTTATATAAGTTACTTCAAAGATCGAAGTACATTTGAAGAGTATAATGTAAGAGATAAAGATTATAAAGGAACAAAAAATGATTGATCCTATTTGAATCGTAACGAAAACTATATAATATCTAATTATTTGAATATGAATAATTGGGCTTCTGCGTTGCATCTAAAGGGGTATTTCGCACAGGGGTTGTAGCTACTACTTTCTTAACTAGAAACGGGTATACAAACAATGATAATACACTGTACTTTCAATATCACACCGGGATAAAATAATACTCAATCAACTTTAAACATTGTGGTAAAAATATGATTAAAAAATCGTTATCTGATGTTTTAATGATTGTCTATGAAATATAACAGTTTCATATAAAATACCAATATTTCTTTTATAGTTGAACTCTTCCTTAGGTGTTTCTTTAGGTAAAAAAAATACAGATCTTCGAATAACTAATCATTGATTTAGGACCGGTGCAGTTGGTATGCATTCCTTTAATTTTTCATCATCAAACGTCACCATATCACCTAGACCTATACAACTGCTTTCTTATTGATTCTCACCCCTCTTGTCTTGCTTAACCTCTTCATCCCTCAGCATTCATATCATTTCTCTCCTTTCATATCGTTTCTATATAAAGCTAATCGATTCCCTTTAAGCATCTCTGCTTCATTCATTATCATTAATTTTGTATTTACTCAGCACTATATACATTTTCATTTTACTCTCTTTTCTCATTACAATGAAAATATAATTTTTCCCGGACTGACGACGACCATTACTTAGATTACGATCCATTCTGACCACGATTTTTATGTTTTGTCCCCTCAAATTGGGAATCATTTGCTGTGCTATGCCATTGATCGTGCTATTCCTTTCAACCAACATTATTTTGTAAATATATTTTGGCACTTTAGAAAAAAATATCAGAAGATGTGTATAAAATACGATTGGTTCCAAAACTCCGGTATCGATGTAAGATATTATCTGTTACTTTTTATTTTTTATTTATTTTCTACAGATGTCGCTAATATTTTATTATCTTACGCGCGTACTTAGGTACACTGACATAATTTTTCAATTATCTCTTTCCTTCAGAATGTCACTTAACAAAACTTAAAAGTTTGATTCCTATCTCTTCCAGTCCATTTAAACAGAAAGGGATAACAATATCGAATCATGTTTACACCGAAGTTTCGGCAGAAGTGTTGATTTTTCTAGACTCACTCTTTTTTAAGCCTCCACTCCAAGAGTCCTTACGTCTGAGAATTTCGCTCTGAAATAATATTCAGAGCATTTGTTATGTTAATATCAATGATTAAATAATATGTACAGCCAAAGATTAGCTACATTATTTACACATGCTCATAGTTAAAAACGATTTTCATGCTAGGAACATAAAGATACAAAGGTGTAGAAAACATAGAGAATTTAGATAAGAAATCAATACCACATCAAAAGATACCTACCGTTATCCTGTTATCTGATGTAATTGTAGTAAGTGATCGTCCAGAATTTGTGTTTTCGGATAAAGCTATCAACGCCAATGTATTAATACACTTCTAAACCTTTACTTTTTCGGGTTTAAACGTGCAATCAATATTAAGCATTGATATTCTGAGAACAACTAGATATAACTTGAAGAGAAAGAATTAGAAACACAGAAAGCAGACAGACAGACAGACAGAGACAGAGTGATTAAAAGAAGAACAGAAAAAAAAACTATATTTTTTTTCACCTGGGTATCAGTTTTTTACTTTTGGTATATTTTTATATCTAAATGAGTTAAATAAATGATTAAATCAGTACAGCATGCTTGATATACTAATAACTTTCACCCTTCTTTTTATATGTAAAGAAAATTCAAGAAGCCTCAAACAGTTGCTGAAAAAGAACAATTATGCTTTTGGGACCCTACTTTTAAGGCATCGCCCACCCACTCCCCCACGACTACACATTGTGGGTAAGTTCTGTCAAATTTATGCAACATTTGCTTGCTCAAAAGCAATCGTATTGACAAACGTTTCACAACATGGTACTTTACTGTTGCTTGCGTATTCCGTAGTCAATTAAATTGCTTTTCTATCTTGCATATAGTACTTACCTACGCAATTTGTCAATAAACAAATAAAAAATATTTTGTTATTATTTTTGTAAACAAAACAATTTATTTGAAATATCAACCCATTCTGAGAGTCCTAAAATCAATCTTTGTAAGCACAGACAATACATTCCTAATTATTTATACTTTATAATGTTTATTTAAAGTAATTTTTATATGAAATCCCATTAATTAGAAGACCCATAAATGTTTGAAGTCAAAAACACGATATACGCTTAGATTAAAACAAAAAGGGAAGATACGTTACGCTCATACTAGCATTACATAAAATATGATCCGACTCAGTTAAGTCGGATCATATTTTATGTAATTATTTAAGTAGTTACTTAAACAATAGGGGTGAGGACGGGGTACAGTAAACGAAATGCTATTTAGTCCGTAAGTTAGATGATCAAAAAATAATGGACACGTATTTCTTCTTTGGGCAATCAACCAAAAAATGACAAAGTTATAGCTCGTCAAAGTTTGGGAGTAGGGGCTCGTGACATCACTTTTAAGTGAAAATTGTAACAAAACGTGACGTCATGAGACTTTTCAAATCAATATATCTCTGCAATGATTATATTATGTGAAAAAAGAAATAATACGTGTAGAATACTTTTTGATGATCTACCTGATAAACGAAGAAAAAAAAATAGTCATCATCCCTATTCACACGCACGCAAACAGTCAATCGAGCGAGCGAGACAGAACTGTACGCTTTAACGCAGCGCGAGCGAAGCGGCGAGTCCGCGTCGCTTTGCAACCGACTGTGTTTTATTTTCTCTCTACAAACGGCTGAGCTGTATCGTTGTCCTTTTCTTGATAAGAAATGGCGAATAACTTTATTTCATGACAAAAATCATGGTTTTTGAGATTTTTTTTATAGTTTTACGACTGAAGTCTTGTCGTGGATTTGTCATTTGATCTTGAACTATATGTGTTCTTTATAAAAGCATCGAAGGCATTGTTTTATATTTATAACAAAGAATATACGCAATATTGTTATATTGAGTGCACATGCATCGTGTTTGGATGTCTAATTGTGACTAAAGCGAATTGTGGTCAAGCACCTCAATTTACCTAAGCAGTTCACTTTTGAGCCGCGAGTGCCGTATCTTCTCATTTTGTTTTATTCTAAGGATATACGTAAATGATGGAAAGTAACTTATTGTAACAATCGTGTTCGTGACACGAAAATGTAGACGTCCAGATTAGCAGGTATTGGATTATTTATAATGTAAATAAAAAAAAGCAAAACGACCTAAATGACTGTAAATAGAAAATAAAACACTGACATAACTACTTACATCATAAGATAAACGCGGATATACATCTTATTAACTAAACTAAAAATTTCAGAACATTGGCTTGGATGTTGATATTGTTTTTCTTATTTTGTTCTAGTAAGCTGCTACTGTTTTATGATTTTAAGTAGTTTTTTTTTACAAAAAAATGTTATTTATGTACCTTGCGCCCGTAAATAGAAACATCATTCAAAGGAGACCTTCCATTTCTGCCCAATTTTGTGCCTTGGTAAAAATTATGTCAAAAAACATCTAAAATTATAATTAAAATGACTCGCACATCAAAATCTCAATAAATTCAAAAATCTAAAGAAAATATAACTAGAAAAAATTCCACGCGGACCAGGCAGCAGACGGGACTCGAACCCGCACCCTTCGCAATCCGGGCGAATGCACTGACCAATTATGCTACCGCGGCCCTCACGGACCGCGTCGAAATTCCCTCTAGCTATTCTTAAGCTGCAAGGCAGCGCCATCTCTTCGCATTATAGGTAAACATCATTTATCTTTAGATTTAAACATCAAGCAGTTACATGCTTTAAAAATAATAAAAATTATAAATTCAAAAATATTGGCGAAAAACTGAATTAAAATATTTTGAAAAACGGAACAAGCGTATAAATAAACGTTATTACTAGACGCAATTAGTCAGACAAATGACAACGAATACTATTGCTTTTAAAATTAATTTCTTTGATTGTTATTAGTGGTTTTCGACCATGTGACATTTAAGCCTTCGTACACAGACAGCCTTTTAGCCAACCCTTTCATTTATTTTATATGTATTTTGATGGGCTTGCAATATAATATTTTGTTATATTCAAGCTTTTGCCGATCAGGTTTATTTATAATGATTTTTGATTTCATTAATTTAAAGGTGCACCTGATATATGTATTGCCACTAGTTTTAATATTTTATTGAGATCTTCATGTGATCTTCAAAAATATAAATTTCATTTATATTTTTATCTGTACCCATGCTTCAAAACGTCTATTATAGGTTCTGAGACAGTTAGGTTATTGCAAAAACATTACAACATCCAATGTCATAATTAAAAAAAAAGCATAATAACCCTTCTTTTATGACAGTCGCTTCATTATACAACAGTTGCATAAATAGCTAATGAATTCGGCATATTTTTCTGCACATATATGCATGATAATAGTTGAGGTTCAAGATTGGGCAGAGTTGTATGGAGAAAGGAAATGTTAAAAGTGAAACTGACACCGAACTTTACACAAACATTCGAATCAATGAGTCGGTAAATGCAGGCGCAATACTTATATAGTACATCTACTTATCTATGATCTACTTCGATAAAATATTGTCAAAATTTTAAAAATGTTAAAAAGGAATGTTCTTAGGGCCACTTGTTCCAATATTCAAATTAAATTATTAGACTTCATCCTGTTTAAGATACCATTCCATCTTTGTAAAATATTTAAAGTCAAATGGAGATAGAATGAGGCTTAAACACGGTAAGCTATGACATAAGATTTTGGTACAAGTGGGCCTTCTAAAATTCTAAAATTGAAGCACGACTTGTAAGTGCTTAATCTAGGGCGTCCATTAGACGGTAGGCTTTGCTGTCAGTTTGTTGGCAGTCAAGGTTATGACAGATGGATAACCTGTAGCTGTCATCTAATGGAGGTGACTGATTTTTTTGTTGTCATCCGTTTTTTATCATTAATGTCTGGTGACATTGACTGATGACTTCATCAGCGTCTAATGGACGCTCAAAAGGTTTTTGCTTAACTCATGCACTTTGGTAGAGACGGGTCGTGGCATGCGTGTGTGCGTGCGTCAGTGGTACACATAGGTGGCATGCCTCTCAAAACTTGGTGTCATTGACGCACACCTTCATTGAATCTTCCTCCTCAGCTTCCTCCATGGTCGAGAGCCGTCTCTCAATCTCTGATTGTGCGGTTTTCGATATCAGCTTCTTGTGTTTGATACTGGAAATGTTATTTGTTACTGTTACGTCATGGAAACCGGCAGTTTAATCTTTTCGTCGATAAGCGGGTGGATTAAAGATGGATGATTAAAGTTAGTCTCAATTTATCTAATCGCTTTTAAACAAACTAATAAATTTTTATTCGGGACTTATTTAAGGCCCACTTGCAGTAAATTTTCTAATTTTTTTTTCTAAATTAGTTTTAAATAAAACTAGTAACCCATAGGAAATGTCTAATAATAGTATGGGCTAAATCTAGTTTCAGTTAAATGGGAATTTAGCAAAATTGCTGTAAGCGGACCTATGATATTAAAATTGGACTTACTTCTTTTTGCCACCTTTAGATTTGAATTCCTTGGAATCATTATTTGTTTTGTTCTTGTTACTATTATTAACCTGTTTCCATATTCCGGTTTTATTTACCTCCTCCGATATATTGATTGATGTCAAGGGAATGTTCATAATATTGCCATTTATGAGAGGTATTTGTAGATTCTCCTCTTCGTATGGCGGTGGATTGTTCTTGTTCGATACCTACGAACAAAAACACTTAGACACAATTTTAATGCTAGACAAGATCAGAATATATAGATTTTTTATTAAAAAAGTTATATGAGAAAACTTACCTGATCTCGGTCAAATAAATATCTAACAACAGGTACATGATGGAATAATAAAGGTGTGAAAGGATAAGGAAAATAATAATTCTAGTGTGATAAAAATAAAATACTCTTAGGTCAACAAAAGACGATTTATTTATGAAGACGTCTAAATATATGGATAACGGAAAATTTCTAATAAATGCTGGTATGACTGAAAAAACAAACAAATACGCCAAGGGCAGAACTTAGTTTCGTCGGAAAAGGCGCAATAGTTTTACATGCCATCCCACCTCAGCGTCTCTCAGCTCCCTTAATTCGTCCTGGTTGCGTTTCGTCATTTCTGGCATTACATCGTCTAGTATTTTTAACTCTCTCCTTGTGAATAACAAGTCCAGTGATTTCCTAATTCCAATCATCACTACCAACATTAAGGGGAACAGGATGGATGTCGAAGAAAACGACTTTATGACCCAAAGGCAGACTAGACATGTCAACTGGATAGCAGTAAAAAGATGGACGCGACGTATAGGTACCTGTAATAAAAAATAGCATTAAACTTCTGCAACCATTGACACTGGATATTAATAAACATAAATTAATTTTCTACCTGTCTTAAGAACATATGGTCCGGTTGATACTTTTGCGGCATAAACATTATCAAGATTCTATCAAAGAACTGAAGTCCTTTCAAAGATGCAACTCCCATGTACAAGAAAACTCCAAACAATACAGGCATTGGTATATTTCTTAAAACGGGAGTTAATACCACCGAACATCCTATTGTTATAAATATCAGGATGTGGGTCATTCTCTGCTCTCTTACTCCCAGAAACTGGGGCTTCTCACCTGGTGCAGCACATTCTGATTCGACTTTCAACGAGTTAACGTGGTTTATACTCAATACTGTCGCTGCCACGAACCATGGCAGTCCCATGACGGAGCAGATTTGTATTAATATGGCCAAAACAAATAAATCTAAATGATATCCACATCCTTTTTTTAATTTATTTTCTTTTCGGTTTACTATGACTGCTGTTATTTGTTGATCCATAAATATTAGAATGGTTCCTAATAATGCTGGCAATATGGCAAGTAGTGCAGACCAAAATGGATTTCCATTGAATGGAGTTATAACCCATTCCCTTGTTGGAAGTGTAGGTTTAAACTCTGACGGTACTTCAAGTTTTGGCGTTTTTACTCCTACTTTATAATCTAGGAAAGACATTGATAGAATAGCAATGATTACAGAAAAATCACTTATGACTTGACGGACCTAAAAAATTAAGATAAAATGTTATTGATTCTCATACAAATTATATATTTAAAAGTTGATTTGACGTATGTTACGTGTTTGAACATACCTTTGATGGAAAAAAGAGCGAATTTTTGAAGTCTTTCAAAATTACTGATATAATAAAAGTGCCTAAAAATAAAATTATCGACATGAGAAAAACGTCTGGCACGTAAACTGTAGTCTCACATCCACCGCCAGCCAGTGTCCCATTAAAGAGCTGAAATTAAAATTAAGTTTAGTATTATATAAAATTATGAATAACACAATCGATTTAGCAAACAAATTAACGCCACCGTACCTGGCAAGATTCTTTATCAAGTGATGTCCAATTAAACTGTTCGGGCACTTTGGAGTAATTGCTTGGTAAACAAAAACATTCATAATTGAGAACTTCATCAGGGCGAGTCTTGAGAGGATATTTCTTTCCGATGGAAATTACATTTTCAACTGCCTGTTCAATAAGAAAAAAAACACGTGGATAAAACGACATATGGTTCATGTTATGATTAAGTTTCTCTTTATTTAAAATTACCTTGTAAATAAATATAAATGCTATTAATGTCGCAAAATTTTCTTCAGTAAATCTTGTTATATAGCAAACAAATGCACTGGCATCAATTGCAACTAAAGTCACAAGGATAATAGTTATCCAAGTTCCTATACAAAATCTGAAAGACATGTAATCCCATCCAATCTGCTTGCAGAATTCGAAGACGATTGTTTCAAAGACTAACACAGGCCCAGTCGATCCTAATATCGTTAATGGTTGCCCTGAAAAGAAGCCGTAGCCCATACCACATACGAATCCTGATATTAATGATTCCATGGCAGCCATATTCTTGCCTGTGGCTTCACCTAAAAGACCCCCAAAAGTAATAATGGGAGATAAACAGGCAAAATAAAGAAAAATCCAAGAGGCAACACATTGAATCGCTAATGCGTCTTTAAAATCGGACCAGTACCAAGGTTTCTTGCGTTTCAAATCATTTATCAATCCACCAAATAATCTTCCACTTCTTGCTAAGCCTGATTCTTCTCTTTGCTTTTGTTCTTCTTCTTCTTCGTCCGGTTCTTCTTTTGAATTATTATCGTTTGGTCTCTTTCGAGGGTCTTGCGATGGTATTGCTGCGGGTGGCTCTATACGTATAGCTGGGTCCCATTCTCCGGGAGGTAAAACAGTTACGGCGTCAAGAAATTCATCTATGCCAGCTAATAAATGATCCCTTTTCTTCGCCCTATATGCTACTTCATGAAATATTTCATCTGACATAAGTGTGGCCATTGCTCGTCCTATTTCATGAAAACTTGAATTGCTATTAGGCGGGCCGAGTAGAACAAACATAAATCGTGTTGGCACAGGTACTTCAGTCAAGTCACCCATTATTGTCCCCATTTTAAGCCTGACGAATGCTGATAGAGTTTTTTCAAGAAAATCTACTTCTCCCACCAGAATGTTAGAAGCTTCTGCGCCTGGCGGTATTTTTCTCATAAAGTGTACATTGCTTTTGTGATTTATGTCTCCGTTCATATGGAGTTCCCCCGAACTGTGATTTCGGTGCATTGAGACACTACTTGGGCTTTTTACCATTCCATCATCATTTCCAGCACCTTAAATTTATCAAATGATAATGAACAGTTAAAAATTTGATTATTTGTATAAGATTATGGCTTAACATTACTTTTAATAAAACATGCAAAATTTCATAAAAAAATGAGCAAATTTTATGTTAAACCATTATCTTTACAATTATAAACAGTACACATAAAACATCGTATAAAAGCCAATAAAGTGAATCGTCTCATTCAAAATACCAGATTGTGCAATTATGCTATGGTGACTATATGTATATTGTTATGAATATTTAATGAAAAAATGCTGTACTGATAAATATTGTGATGATTTACGGCAGAATACTCAAAACGATCATTGATTCAAATTTTAGATTTGACTCAAACGATCATTTATCAAAATCAAAAGCTGTTTAAGTGTTATTTGACTAATATTGAAAATTTGATAGATTAATAACATAACTTTAGCAGGAATATTAAGAGTACTTCGCCGTTGATCTAGTAAGTATGGCACCAACTTCTTACATGTGAATCACAAACTCAGGTATTATTTGATAACAAATATTTTTTAAGCACTAGCAAAAACTTAAAAACATGATCAATACCGACTCAAAATAATGTGGCATTTAGCAGTAAAGTAAAACATCGATAATACACAGTAAAACGTCAGAAATGTCTGAAATGATTTCAAAAGATATCAAATAAATTAAAATATAAGGAAATAGAAGAAATCACATTGACGAAGACAGTTATAAGGGTGAGCGGTTACCCGCATTAGGGATGCCTAGGAAACGATTGAAATCTCCTTTTTGGGAATGTCCACTTGTTGATCCTCCTTCCTCGACTGTAATAATAATATAATGCCAATTTTGAAAGACTACATAACATGTATTATTAATTTAAAATTTTACATAAGAAGGTACCTAAGTAATATATTTTATTAGCGTCGTATAAGTGCGTGTTGTGAATACTGTACATTGGCGTGGTTTGTGATTGTAGACACACTCAAACTTAATCGTCTAACCTGGGACTGCTAGATAGGACCCTCTGGTATCAGTTGCTTGTAGGAGGGCGGTGTGAGGGGACGAGGTAGACCCCCGACAACTCCTCGAACTGGAGCGTCGAGAGCCACCCTCCTGAAAATCTGATGTGCCCCATAAAAATTGTTAAACTATCTCTGTTAAATTTTTTCGTGTCCAACATTTTTTATTCTTTGATACGCAAAAGTGATTTAATATTTAACTTAATACTTACTTTTGCAAGAAGAATGGTTTCTCCCAATATCAGCAAGTGAACGTATTAGTGGAAGTCTGGACATGTTGTTATGGTTTCGTCTTTCGTGTTGATGTCTATGTCTCCTCAATAAGGCATCTTTGACTTTTTCCCTGCTGTCGTAACCCAGGGCTCCATCGGCTACCATATTATCTAAAACATTATCCGCCACTTGTTCCAATGAACTGGCTTCCATATCCAAGATGACTGATCCATTTAATATGAGACTTCGTAGTTCGAATAAAGAATGTAGAGATAATGTGGCAACGTGAGGTTTTGACCATCTGTTTCCTCCTTCCTCCACGTCTTCTTCGAATTTGATCCATCGGGCCGTCTCTTTCCATTCGAGTTCATCTCCCTCTTTTACTAGCTCTTCCATTTCAGAAAACAATGGATGTGATACCATTGTTCCATCGTCAAGATCTTCTCCTAATATAAATTGTACTCGTTGAGCAGGTGGGGTTACTGAAAATTTAAAATATACAACCGTTCAACATGGTGTTACATGTTCATTCAATGCTAAATAATCAGATGATTGGAAAAAGATTTTAATTAGATAAATTATGTAATCTAGAAATCTACAAAATATAACAATAAATCAGAAATTGGTTTGGAAAGCCTAAATAATCATGCCATTAAAATGGTTTCTAAAGAAAAATTAAAAATTGTGGTTTGTGGATAAGCAACGTATTTAAGTACCTACGGTCTTAGAACAACAACAAAAAATATTGGTCAGTCATTTATAATAACTAGTAAGCTCTAGAGGTTTTTAGTTTAGAGTGAAGTTAGCAATGACCCAGTATCACAGAAGAACTAAGGGCGTGAGAAATAAAAAAAAACTATGAGGATTTTTCTGCTAATTAGGTATCTTACGTGTCTCTCCGTCATCAGTGACGCTCAGTCGGCGGACTCGTGCCATTAGCGGAGGGCCTACGGAGTGAATTACGGTGCACATATTTTCCATATATACATATACATTCAAACACGTAGAACATCTTAATTCTTTCATGCATTATTCAGTATAAAACCAATCTCATGCCATATTCGCGAGAGTGACGGAGCATCAAATGTGACACCGTGATGCATATTTTGCTATGTTTATTTATGCCAATGTTATTAATTAGCGCATAAACATAATCACTATAAATATTACGCATTATAACTAGTTAATTTAAATTAATCACTTTAGCTAGTACATCACTACACACACTCACATACTTCATAATAATTCCTTGGGAGTGGGCTTATAAATATTAAATGAAACGATTGAACGGGAGTAGTAAATTAATAATAAGGCAACGTATGAATACAAACGAGATCTATAAACGTAACTTAAGAAGTAATTCATCATCCTATATACTATTTAGTACTTTTGCATAACCTGCTAGAAATTATAACTAGATAATGTAATTAATTTGCCTTGTAAACCACTTTGTTTAACATAGGTAGTTATTATGCGTATTATTTAGATGTTACATATTAATAACTTTGGCGGTAACATAATATAACACCCAAAGCTCCAACGTTACATTTAGAATTACTAGGATCCGTAGCGAAATCCTATGTCCATGCTAGTAGTAGGGGAGCCTAAGTGGGTATTTTGGGATTTACTCAAGCACGGAGGCATAACATAAGGGGGAAAACCTTGCACCTTATGGAGTACTCCTACCATACCTGAGCCCTTTAAATAGGCATCACGCTCTAGTAGCCACTATTCAAAAGACTGACGATATAGAAGCCACCAAAAGTCATGGCCGTTTGTTGAGAAAATAATTTTTGGTGCCCTAGATGTTGAACCCTACATAAAGGGCTCAGGTATGGTGGGAGTACTTCACAAGGTGCAAGGTTGTCTCCCTTATGTTATTCAGCCGCGCTCGATTAAATTCTAAAATCCCCTTTTGGGCTCCTCTACTATAGGATCTACGCTACTTTTCGAAGACAACAGTGACAGCTTAATAACTCAAAGCTGAATTTTCGAAATTATTCTGCCCGTCGATTAACTTTTATTATCGGCACAATAAATGTAAAAGCTCCAAAGTTCATGTTTATAAACAATGTTTAGGTCTGAATTTCTCCTATGCTAATGTCGGTCGCGTACTTTAGCAAGATATGAAATTGGTATCGTAGAAGTGCGATTACCATTTCTCTTCGTGGATTTATGGTACAGTAAAATGCTAAGTAGATTTTTTGCCTTCGTCAAGCAACTGACATCAACTTTGGAGGGATGCCGTTTATTTATTTTCAGGCTGCTGATATTTGCTTCATAATATGGTTTTACTGCTTTAACACAAAATTAATTCGGCGACCTCATCATAGGAGGAATTCGGGTCCAGTTTATCTAAGGCATCATGTAGTTCTGCTATGATTAGTTTTTATTTTATACGAATTACAACCGTCATTAGAATGGCATGAACAGAATTACCACGTCTACCCTAGATCAGGGATTAGAACCTGGATCAGAACTTTTTCCTTATTGTGGCAATATTTATACCCGTACCATCAGATTTTACGGCGGCTCAAGTTTTTGAATATGCACACCTCCCAGAATTATTAAGTCAAATATAGCTCAGTAACGAAGGCCCCTCGCGCAGTCTGCAGCACAGCAGCAATTCGGCAGCAAGTCCTTGTCGGAACATATGACAAAATGGTACTTTTTGGTGAGTACCTTTGACTTTTGTTTGATGGTTGCGGGCCGGAATTTAAACATTCGAGGGTCGGAGTTGGCTGCGGGCCGCAGTTTGCCCATCCTTGACCTAGATCTAACATTATTTATAAGTAAGGGTCCTCTTTTGGGATAGACCCCTGTCGAAACATAACGAAAACTCGTGTAACCTGTGTCCGTAAATTTTAGAAACTTTTTCTTCTTTAGTAATATGCATATACATATTTAAGATATATTTCAATAGAGCCATGATTTAGGATTTTACTCTATGTAACATCTTTGTAAAAACGTTTGTTTGATTGCACATTTGGAGATGTCTTAAATATTTATATTACCAACATATGCTCACGTAAATTGTATTTTGTCGGGAGAAACAAAGAATCTAATTTATCGACGACTAAATTGAGTGCCATATACATTCTTTCTATTTAATTTATATATAAGTATCATTTTGCACAAAGACTAATTGGAGCCACACTCAGAGCTTCCTTGTATGTCAATAGGGCTAATTTTCACTACCACAATTCTGGGTAAGAGAATATAGGTAGTGCTTGTTTTAGCTTTCCGATTCTGACATATAAATTGAACGCGATTCGTTTCGTGTTCTTTGAAAATATCGTATCTTTTATAGTTTCCTATTGAGTTCTGAAATAAAATATCACATCAAAAACATTTTTATGTAAAATATTGCCAAGACGAGGCCATAATGACTCGCACTCTCAAAAAGTTATCAGAAGTCATGTAGAGCCAAGCTTCTAACTCTACACACCCTTTCAAAACATGTGGCTATTTTGTTTTCGGTCCCGAGAATTTTGTATAGGTATCTTGTATAATCCAAACCCAAGTTACAAGTTAAGATGTAGCGCTTCGAGAAAAGGTGGATAGTGTATATGTACAAAAACAAAAAAAAACAACAGTCTGAGCTGTGATAATTCATCGATTTAAAAAAAATTCGCTCGCTGGACTTGTTTTTTCATTTGTTTATAGTTCCAACCCCAATCTTTAACAGTCATAACTCGCTTCATATCTTCATATCATAATATACTGCATGTCTTACTTTAAGTAATTTTTGAAAAAATCCTTGGTGTTATGATGGTGTAGCGTTAATTGTATCTTAGGTTAAAGTAAATTAATGTTATAATTTTGGACTTCCACCATGGTAATTTGTCGTAATTTGGTGATCCCCATGATTTATCTCCATGTAATTATATTAGTTATTGTTAAATAAATGTATCACCACAATCCAGAATATATTTAAATACCTATTTCTCAGTAATATCGTAGCTTAGTCAAAAAGGGATAAATCAATGATAAATGTATGATTTCTGTACGATTTTCTTGAAGTCAGTTAGTGGGTAAGCTCTTACTGTAATTTATTGGTTATAAGATTTGTGTAAATATTCAGTACGACTTCTAAATGTGATTAGAAAAGTTTCTAAAATCTGAATGCTTACTTTATTCGAAGAAAACTTAACTTTTACTTTATACGATTTCTCATATAGATTTTCCGCGCATTGGAAACGGGAGCAATCATATTTATAATTTATTCGTCATAAATGTTAAGAATGTTTTTATTAATGGATTCAAATAAGGCGTATTGTGATTAGACGTTTTATTAGGCAAAGGAATTGTTTCGTAATGATATTTACGAATACTTGAGAGTTAAGATGTCTGTTTACTACAACCGCTTACGTTGTATGTGGCTATTCGTCAACATTATACATACATACTCGTATATGCCTTTCGACTGTGGGACTACTTGATTTCGAAAGGACATCCTTTATCTCTCTATCGATAGACAACCTTCCCAATAGTGGGGTTTAATAGTTAACTTTAGTTATCTTTTACATGTCACACTTTTCACTAGTCTCATGCCGCAATTACATTTGGTTGTTAGTTCGTATTCGGGTACACGAAAGACATTACTCGAATTCGGGCACCCAAAGCAATATTTACAGTGGAATACGGGTTGGAATATGGTGTCGGGTAAACAAAAGAAAATCTACCCGGATACGGGCGCGCTCGACTCCGTTTATTTACAGTTAGTCGTTTACCCGGATTCCATTGGCACTCGTATTCGGGCTAACGACCAAATGTAATCGCGCCATTATTCTCGGAGCATGGCTCCTTGGTTTCGTCGATTTTTTTCCTGTTTCTAGCGACCCGAGTCTTAGTTTTCTTCAGAAGACTGAAGAGTGAGCTTTTCTTTTTATTTGTGTAGGTATTTTCCATAACCGAACACGAACTGTTTTATTTGTTAGAGCAACAAGCGCCTAATAGAGATTTTCCAACATCGTGGTTGAGCTTGCCCAGCTAGTCTAAACTTGGGGTTTTTATAACCGAACCTGGATTGTAAGTTTAGAGAGATAAATGGTGCAATTATTAACAATTTCCTCCATATCATTAACCTATGCTAAATTATGTGTAGGCCCCAGTACGGAACCCCGCGCCGTGCCCGTTATAACCGATATTTCATCGCTATATTCATGCTCAACCTTAACACGATATATCCTGTTTTTAATGTACTCTTCACACCATTGCAGAATCGTATATCGTATATCCGTGTTTTTTTAACTTATTTACTGACGTGTCGTGTCTAAGTTTATCAAATGTTCTGCTAAAGTCTACTTTAGATAACAACATTGACGTTGATTCATGTGGTTGAAAACAAAAGTGAAACTTAGATATTATATTGTATTTTTATAATAATCCTGAATTTGCTTACACACGTATTTTCCCACTATCTTGTCGATAACTGGCAATATTGTAATAGGCCTATAATTTTCATATTTGCCATGCGATCCTTTTTTATAAACAGGACTTACAATACCTGTTTTTAGTTCTTGTGGGTATTTTCCTGACTTTATACTGGTATTAATTAACTTTCGCTATTTTCTCACCTATAAGCTTTACATCTATACACCGTATTCCATTAACACCCGCTGCTTTATTTGTATTTAAATGGTTTATGATATTTAAAACAATTCGATGACTGGGTTTTTAAATAACATTGTCTTATTTGCTGGGTATGTATGTATAGTCTGACTCTTGTAAAATAATATTATTACAGTTAGGTAATATATTTTTCACGTTTTCGCCAAACTCTTATTAAAATTATTTGCTATAGTTTTTATTGTTGTGTTAATTTTTAAAAGCTTTTAATATATGCATCGTCGTCAGACTTACAAACTCGACCGGATAAAGAATTTAAAAATTACCCACATTTTCCCTTGATTTTTTTATTAATAATAATTTGGTCGTTGTAGTGGTAAAAATTTACCACTCTAACTAATGTTAGAGTAGAGCAGAAGTAGGATCGAAGGGGATTTATGACATTTTATTTATAATGATGTATTTAACGTCTCTGCCAATTTTCAGCTCCTTGGGAATTATTCCTCAGTTGTGACTTTTTTTTGTCTATTTTGCACAAAGAGAGTTTTGTGTTAGAGCAACAAGCATCTAAAACATTTTTGGCATTTGTTTCTAGCCATAAATTATCGCCAGACTAACTGTCTCCTATGATACAGGTTATTCCTAGTATCTTAGGGAATCGTTCTTCAGGTTTTATATACTACCTATATATAGGTAATATATTTTTATGGCGTTGTTCCCATTAGGCTCTATGATCGTATCTGCTTGATCAAGCCAAAAGAATTGAACTTTCGTTGTTCCGTCAAGTATACCTGTCATGCCAATCCACGCCCACCCACGGTCAGATCTACTTGATACTTGATACCTGGACGATGGAATTGATCGTATATCGCCACCACAGAACACAGAAAGAGGTAACTAGGGCTAGACCGTTTGTACGGAAATCGACATCCCGGGTTCGCCCTCACTACACTTCCATCTAATAGATAATAGCCGATCAAACGACGCGACATCAAACATTCGTACCAATCAGCGCTCACACCCGAGAGCAACGACGCAATCAGAATAAAGTTTTGGTAAAGTTATTTTTGTGTTAACCCCAAAGTCCTTCTAACACCTTTCTGTGTTCTGTGATCGCCACTGTTAGAATAACACAAATTGGAAATAAAATTACTTTTATTTAGTTGAACGCTCTTACCAGGTCGCTCGTCCTTGTCCCCGTTGCGTTGGTGGTGGTGCTTGTGTTTGCGGTGCGAGTGGCGGCGCGCCGGCACGTGCACGCCCACGAACACTGTGTGCGCCCGGTGCCCTGAAACGTGACGCAATATACTCAAACGGATTGCACTCTGTACAGGATATATACCGCTATTTTGTTTCGTTTTATAAATCGAGCGGATTAAGGCTTTTTTTCCACCCAAAGTCGCAAGCACCCTATAAAGACATTAACCGTTGACATCTTTTAAACGTATCTAGCTATACTTAATGAGGAGCTCGATAGCGCGTGTGGTTAGCGCGTTCGGCTGCAATCGTTGAAATTAAGCAACTTTCGCAGTGGTCGGTCATTGGATGGGTGACCAAAAATCTTATATCTCGATTTCCTCCGTGCTTCGGAAGGCACGTTAAGCCGTTGGTCCCGGCTGCATCTGCAGTCGTTAGGACCTGCCAATCCGCATTGGGCCCGCGTGGTGGGTCATGGTCCAATTTCCCTATTCTATTCATAGGGAAGGCCTGTACCCCAGCAGTGGGGACATTAATAGGCTGATGATGATCTATACTTAAACGTTTCCAGACATAACTATCGGCCCACCTAGCATTTTAAGTTTTAACGGTCCCCAGCTAAACATTAATGATACATTGAGCAAATTAATTATAACCTACGCAGTTTTAAAGCTGGATTTATTAACCTATTCGTGTGATTTTAAAATTATTGCTCAACCATAAACATATTATGCTACAGACCGTTAAAACTTATAATAATATATACTATATAACTTATACTATGTGGGCTAATAGATGTGTCCGGAAGTATATATTCAGGGTGGGAAAGGTGGAGAGAACGTAACGTATTATACTTATAATTCAGTTCCTAGCAATTGAATGCTTAAATAATAACAAAAAAAACTTCTGTTTACATAAAATCAATAAGCTTCTGGCACGTTGGATGTAGTTTAAACTATAAGATTAGAAAGACCGATAGTGAATAGCTACTATAGAAGTTAGAATTGTGTATTTCAAGTTGACAGCCGTTTTAGATAAATAAGTACCTAGAGGATAGCTAAAGGTCAATTGAGTAGCGTCTAGACTGCCAAACAGGTGTAACATACCTAAGTAACATAAAAGTAAACTTTCTTATACACTATTAAGGTGCTAGCTACGGTTTTGTGCGTTTTAAAAAAAAACTGATAAATATAAGGCAAGAACGAAGAAATTATCTGTAACGTAGAGGATTGCTTAGTGAAAAACAACATGAGAAAGGAAGACATGGAGGCGCTGCGTCAAGACATTTCATCAGTGTTAAGACGAAGCAAACCACCGAAATCAAACCTTCCTCGTGATGAATACCTACCCTTCGTGCAGATAAAGGAAACGCCACGGTAGTAATGGATACGTCAGATTACAACGACAAGATATTATAACTTCTATCGGATGAGAACACATATAAACTTGTGAAGAGTTATCCGACTGCCAAGATTCTCAAAAAGACAAGTGAACTCATCAAATCACTTTCCGAAACGTTGGATCTTGACATCAACTACCTGATTCCTGCATGTCCCAAACCACCAAAACTGTATGGGTTACCGAAAATACACAAACCGAATGCTGCGCTACGTCCGATTGTAAGCCAGATTGATTCACCAACATACCGTTTGGCTAAACACGTAGCAAAGTTACTTTCACCACTGAGAGGTAACACAACAGCCTTTGTGAAAGATTCATACCAATTTGTCAATGAGATTAGAGATCAACGTCTCATGGACAATGAAATCATGGTCAGTTTTGATGTTCAGTCCTTATTTACATGCCTACCAGTACAGGACTGCATTGAAATCACTAAGCAGAAGCTACTTGAAAATAATATGCCTATAGAATATGCAGTATTACTGGAGCATTGCCTTACATCTGGCTACCTGTTATGGGGGGATGACATCTATGTACAAATGGAGGGCATTGCAATGGGTTCCCCTGTCTCACCTGTTGTCGCCGATATTTTCATGGACGACTTCGAGAAGAGGGCTCTCAGCGTAGCACCTGTCACACCCAGGCTATATAAGCGGTACGTAGATGATACTTTCACAATCCTCCCAACAGATCAAATTTCTGCCTTTTTAAATCACCTTAACTCAATACACCCCAACATCCTTTTCACTATGGAGTTAGAAGCAGATAGTAAACTAGCTTTTCTAGATATTTTATTAATCAGGAATCCTGACCAAAGTTTAAGCCATACTGTGTATCGTAAAGTGACTCATACTGATAGGTACCTCAATGGTGACTCACACCATCACCCGAAACAATTAACTGCCGTAGGAAACTCTTTGTTTCAGAGAGCACGGGGCGTCTGTGACAAACAACACCTGGTAGCTGAACTTCAGCATGTCGAGCAAGTACTGAAGGATAATAATCTGAATGTACCACGTCGCCGTCACAGTTGCGCCAAACCTAGCACAGTCGACCGACAACCTGCTATACTACCTTACATGAAAGGAGTCACTGACAAGATTGGGAGGATTCTGAAGCGTGCTTCAATCAATACATACTTCAAGCCGCCAAAGAAGATCAACCAGTTTCTACGACCGGTCAAGTGCAATATAGGGTAAGTTACTGGTGTCTACAAACTTGAATGCGACTGTGGACTCTCCTACATCGGGCAAACAAAGAGGAGTACTGGGACTCGGGTAAAAGAACATATCGCAGATATGAAACATAGGCGCGAAAATAAGTCTGCAGTGTGTGAACATGCATTAGGTGGACCAAACCATTACATTAGATTTGATAAACCACAGATCCTAGCAGCTGAGCGGCGGTTCGTTCCTCGAATGATGCGCGAGGCTATTGAGATTAAAAAATATCCAAATTTCAATAGGGAAGATGGTTGGTATATACCACCAGCTTGGGAACCTATTATACAGGAGATAAAATCCCAACCCCGAGCACCCACTGCAATACCATCAGGACCTATTAGTTCATTTTGTTTGCATAATTTAACATAAGAAGGAGATAAAAAGCCTCTCTTGAGTTTGTTTCGCCGGTTCTTCTCAGAAAGGTCTCCCAATTTGGAACCGGTGGTAGTTTACGGTAGTTAGGGTCAAATAAATAAACTCAAAATTACAAAAAAGAATTTTAAATAAAATACTTTATTAAATAAATTAAATAATAAATTCATACATAGACAATAAAACTTTAAAAATCGAACAATGAAGTAACCGAACGCTCAATAAAAGTCTTTCGAAGGTAGCTCGACAAATTAAATAAAAGTTTAATTCTGACGACGTAGCCTGTAAAGGCTACGAAACGTCAATAAATAAATAAAGTTTCGTGCATTAACCCGTAAAATCTAGTTTTATTTTAATATAACGCAAATTTTAAAATATGGAATATGATGAATATTGAAAATAATAATCCAAAAATACGGATGATTGCGAAGGGAATGAACGAGAAAATCATATTCTACAGACTAAATACATTGAGAATAGAGCAGGCGAGTGATGAAGAATTATTACTGTAATGAGGAAAAGAAAAAAATCAAATGAAGACTGAGTACATTGACCCGACCCGTTTTGGATACGTTTGGGAATTTTAAGAAGGTTGTCCGATAATTGAATCGAAACGCTATTGTCTCTTAATATCTATGGACCGCACATAAGTACATAGTATAATTTTTAGAAGACTACTGTATTACTATATGCTGATGATTTATTTTTTAGTGTTAAATGTGTGACATATTTCATTTTTCAGATGAAAGTGTTTGAGTTTGAACTATTTAATTCAACTCTCAATGATGAATAATGGTATTGACATTGAAACAACACGATGTCTTTGTAAATGTTCTTACAGCTTTTATTTTAGACGGCCACAAAATGCCGAAATAACAAATAGTAAAAAAGGAACTATTGAACAGTTAATTTATCAATAATAATATACTTAATATGTTACAATATTTTAATAAAATAAATTAGGCATTGAATTTCATAGATCCTTTTGCTATATATTCGGTATGCCTAATACAATACAACTTTTTTCACTAGGTGTAAATATTTCTGACAGTGTAAATGATTCATATTTTTTCCTGCAGGCTGTCAAAAGCATCCCTGGCGAGGAGACTATTAAATAAAAGAAAATGCTAACACAAAAATCTTTTTTCGTTTAATACAGTCGAGGTCACTTTTATTACATAACGTGGTTAGGATAAAACGTTATTCGTTGTGGCGGAGTAACATACTGTCACAGCTAGTTGGGTATATTTACAATATAGCTTTTCCTTTGTATAAAATGAAGAATGTAAGAATGAATATTAGTTTGGATACCCTTTGAATTAGGTAGGTAACAGCTGTTGTTCTATCTGATTTCCATAGCATACTTATTAATTAAAGGTTTCACTAAAACTGTACTAGTTAGGTACTATTTCATTAAATTCCAGATATTTTTTAATATAAACAAAATACTACCAAAAGAGTCTAAATGATTTAATTTTGTTCTGTTACATTATAAATTAGAAAATGCAATAAGAGTCTTTTTTTTAAGTCATTATGGTGAATTAAACCTTAATATATATATATATGACAACACATGATAAACAATGACAACTCAAATGTGACTGACTGACTGACATAGTGATCTTATCAACACACAGCTCAAACCACTGGACGGATCGGACTGAAATTTGGCATGCAGGTAGATGTTATGACATTGGCATCCGCTAAGAAAGGATTTTGATCAATTCTACCCCCAAGGGGATAAAATAGGGAATGAAAGTTTGTATGAAACTTTGTCAATTTTAAACCAATCGGGCTGAGACTTTGCATGCAGGTATAAGAAGAATCATAGATGAATGTCATTGTGTATAATACAAGCCTGAGAACAAAAACTAGTTTACACTTCAGCTCTACACCGAAGCGATGCGAGGGCGGGCCGCTAGTACGAGAGATAAGTATCTTATATTGAATACTAATGTGTGGATGCAATATACGAAGCAATTACGGCAAACATAAGCTTTGATCGTTATTAAGGGTGGCGGATAGAATGCACGGCCGGGTGGGTACCTATTTGCGTATGGCAGCGAGTAATATGCATCCAATCATCACGAGGAAA